GGAATACTTTCATTGTCTCGTAGATCCGTTCCTTTTCTTTCTGGTTGACCGATTTCACTCGTGTTCAGTCGGTGCGATGAATGGCAAGGCTCACTGATGATGCCGACTACGTTTGAGAATGTACCAAGTCCACTGTCGGATGCTGGGAGTCATGACAACTACCATGGCAGACGACTTCGGACTCGGTGCGTTCTACATAGTCTCCGTGACCACAAGACCAAGTTGCGACAACGAGGTCAACCCACTTCTACTTATTTTTCGTATGTAAGTAGAGTCTCGAGACTTCCGGCAAATGTATTCAGCCTATTTCGTCTAAAGTGATGACGTACTGGTAGTTGAATTTTCCCACAATCGTATGAATCGAGCTGACGTTTCCAGTGAACTTCGTCAGCTCGAATCATACGATTGTGGAAAAATTAAACTACCAGTACGTCATCACTTCAAACGAAATATGCTACTTGTATCCACAACTAAAAGGTACAGGTTGTAGGTTAGTGAAGCGCAGAATGGTGTCATTTGCAGTGACCAACTCACCAATGGCATGACGACGTATTGTGATGAGAATCCGATGGCGGGGCCGATGGGCCGTTTGGCGTAGCTCAGGATCACTTTGATGTTGAGCGAACAGCTCATGGTGAAGGTGAGCAAGATGACGAGCACCATGAGGGTGATCTGGAAGCTGACATCTTTGACCCCTCGAGCCTTCAGGACGATGATGCGCAGGCCGAGCTGGGCCCTCTCCACGACCGGCGTCCGGGCGCCCACGAGCCGGCCGAAGAGGTCGTCCTGTCTGGACACGGCCGGGTCGTCCTGCGGCCAGACGAGCTGACGAAAGACGCCGCGCGGCCGGCTCGAGTTGTCCAGCCCGACCAGTCGGTCCTCGGCGCCCAGCTCGGCCAATGCGGCCAGTTCGGCGGATCCAGGCCGGGCCTCCGCGGGTTGGATCCAGACCCGCAAGAAGGCGGTGCCGATCTGCACCGGCCTGAGGCCGAGGCGGACCGAGAAGCCGAGCCCAGCTTGCGCCAACGTGGACTTCGAAGCCGACTCCAACGGCGACTCGAACTGCGACTCGAACTGCGACTGGGACTCGGTCTCGGGCAGCCAGAACCAAGGCAGGCCGTCGGGTTGCATGACGT